AGGCAGAGCCTCTGGGGGGACGCCCGCTAAGGTTGAGCCTGCCACCTCGCACTGCAATGATGCTTCTCGGAGCTGGTTTGCTGTTAGTCTCCACAGGGTCCTTATGCCACGTTCTGTACGTGGGACTGTGTAGTGGGAGTAATAATTGTCTTTTTGCATTTCAAATATTGTACTTGTGTGGAGTGTGCTTATGGGATCCCACACGTGTGTGTGTGTGTTGAGGGCAATCGATGTTTTGTGTATTGTTGGGTTCATGTAAAAGTTTTTAACGGTAGCTGTTTAACATTTTGGGCATGAAAGGGTTAATGTAAAAGTGCAGCTGCCGGCAGGTATTTATACTTGCTGCTGAAGCCGGCAGGCGGCTGTAGCTGCTGCTGAGCAGGCCAGCTTTTGCAGGGATAAAAAAAAAAAAAAAAAAGGAAAAGAGCAATGATGCTGCAAATATGCAGTTTAACTTGTCTACTTCTCAAGAACTGATAACCTGGGGGAGGGGGTATATTTGTGTACACCTGACTACAGGTCCAAGGTCCATGGCGACTGCCTGCAAAGTTTGTCAAGCCTTGCCATGAGCTCGACAAGACAAATGGAAAAAGCGGATGCTTCAGCTACAGGAGCTGACCGAGAATACCCCAAGCAGAATGAGATAGAGGAAGAGAAAAACGAATGACTGCAAAACATCACTTGGGGGCAAATGACAAGTAACATCCTAAATATGTGTGCTTGTAAAGTAGCTATTATTAGAGGTTGTGATTTTGTGTATAAAACCACCTGTATTTACTAGCTAGTTGCTAATAAGAAACTACGCCTTGTATTGTATAGATTTGTCACTTGTAAAAGAGATGTTAAAGTATGGAAATTTGCAGTAGCTGCTAGAAAATGCTAAGGAAAAGCTAGAAAGATTTTAATACAATGGTAGTGTTATAAAGCAGGTGATGGAACAAATTAAGAGGGTGGGAGAATTCCACTGGTAAGAAATTTCTTTGGCTAGTCCCTCCCTGCCATCAGCATCTTCAACATGCTGCTGCACCCTGTAATAGTTACTCTGCTAATGTAAATTTGTGTGTGCCTTGCTGTAGTAGCGACTTGTTGCTGGATGAAGCAGGTGAAACTGTGCATTGACAACAAGGTGCAAGGACTGAGGCTGACAAAATGCCTGCTACCACAGTCAAGGGCAAGACTGGGTTGGCCTCTGTGTTTACCACCAAGAAGAACCTTTAGCTCCGCTGTTGGCTGCAACCCAGCAGGGGTGGAGCGGTGGGGACGCATGCCATGCCAGACCTTGATGTGAAGGATCAGAGAGCTATACAGCCTGTTACCAGAGAGCCATACAGCAGAAAAAAGGGGCAGGCCCAGCAGCCTCTAGTTGGCATATGTTGGAGATATGATCTAGGCCAAATCCCCTGCTCAAGTAGAGTCATCCAAACCATATATAAAAAAAAAGGGGGGAGATATGGAGGCAGTGTTCTCACAGGAGAATGGATAATTGGTACATAAACTCTGAAAATCCTGAAAGATACAGCAAGGCCATGAGAGGCCTGAGGAAGCCTAAACAAGCAAGATAAGAAGAAGCTGGATTTCACAGAGTTAATGAGAACTGTGGACTGTTGGCAAGCTTTCGAGGTCAAGTTCCCACACCTGTGCTTAACCAATTATATGCTAGTTGCAAAGGGTCTTCAAGACATGCATCCAATCATAATATGCCAAATCACTGTAAGTGCATGTAAGAAATAGTATTTAAGGGGTCAAGGCTTTGTAATAAAGGGCTTTTTGTCTGATCATATTGATCTCTGATTGAGTCCATATATATTCTGCGGCATTGTGTTGTCCTTGTTATTAAGTCCTGAATGCTTTTATGGATGATCTGATAAATTCATGCAGCACATACCATCAAAATCTTCACACCCATGGTACTGAGCTAACAATAAAAATCAACAGCTGTTCTGTTCTGCAGTGAGGCATGCCTCACAGAATCAACATCTAAAAGCACAGTGGTACCCTTTCCGGTCTTAAATGTTCCCAGTCTGTTACTAGTAGCTGGAAAGTCCAGTTGTGATACGCTCCTGCACGGATACACTCTCTGTTGTCTGTTTCTCCAGAAAGAGACTGGTTAACTTTGTACAGTTCCCATGGGTTCAACGATGTTCAACGATGAATCGGCATCAATCTTCATTGGCAGCCGTAGCTTGTATAAACGGATGGGTACATCGTGCAGAGATCCATCGGGGTCCTTGTTCTGTGGAGACACAAGCATAGCCTCTTCTCCGAGTTATTAACCTAAAAGGACCTTCTCAGTTATGATTTTCCAAAGACTTTACCATTACCATAAAGGGTTCTTTCCCTGGTATCGGATCTGAGCCTACATGGGTTAGTGCATAAGAATGCCTAATCATTTGGGGGGACATTCATGCCTTTGTGTAAATCAGAACTGGATAATGTTAGAAAATTTAAGACAAACAATGCTTTATTGATTTGTACATTTGGGGTCTCCCCTATCGTTCCCCCTTTTTGTTTTGCTAGCAAGGTTTTTACAATTTGGTGTGTCTGCTGTATCACTGCTTGACCTGTATCATTAACATAACCATCCACTACTCCAGGCAGCATTATTTCAGTAAGATTAGTCTGATCTGAAGTCATTTGAACCTTTATAACGTGGGGCATACCAGTGAATCCTACAGACCATGTAACAGGGCACGCTCTTCTCGGTCAGGCTCATTTTGGCGGGTGGTATTGTATTCTCTTCCCTTGTTATTTCTCTTATCATTATTATTATTGATGGTAGCAGTAGTGATTTGTGTTATACCTTAGTTGCTGGACTGTTCTTATCTCTACCCGTGGGAGTTACATTCTTTTGATTCTCCTCCCCATCCCTCCGGGAGCAGGGGGTGGTGGGGCTGGTGGGGTGGGAAAGAAAGGGGGGGGGAGTAGAAACTGTGTGGCTGACTGGGTTTAAACCACGACATCTAAATATGCTGGGCCTGCCCTTTTGCTCCTGGATGGCTCTCTGGTAACAAGGGAGGCCATCCTTCACATCAAGGTCTGGCATGGCATGTGTCCCCACCACTCCACACCTGCTGGGTTGCAGCCAACAGCAGAGCTAAAGGCTCTTCTTGATGGCAAACACAGAGGCCAACCCAGTCTTGTCCTTGACTGTGGTAGCAGTCATTTGGCCAACCTCAGTCCTTGCACCCTGTTGTCAATGCAGAGTTTCATCTGCTTCATCCAGTAAGAAGTCACTACTGTGGCAAAGCACATACATATTTACATTAGCAGAGTAACTATTGCAGGGTGCAGCAGCATGTTGAAGATGCTGATGGCAGCGAGGGACTAGCCAAAGAAATTCCTTACCAATGGAGTTCTCCCACCCTCTTAATTTGTTCCATTACCTGCTTTATAACACTACCATTGTATTAGAATCTTTCTAGCTTTTGCCTTAGCAGGTAGTGAGGTGGACTGTGAACTGGCTGAAGGAGAGAAGCCAGAGAGTTGTAGTCTATGGGGCAGAGTCTAGTTGGAGGCCTGTAACTAGTGGAGTGCCTCAAGGGTCAGTACTGGGACCAGTATTATTTAATATATTCATCAATGATTTAGATGAGGGAATTGAGTGTACTATCAGCAAGTTTGCTGATGACACTAAGCTGGGAGGAGTGGCTGACACGCCAGAAGGCTGTGCTGCCATCCAGCGAGACCTGGACAGGCTGGAGTGTTGGGCAGGGAATAACTTGATGAAATATAACAAGGGAAAGTGTAGAGTCCTGCATCTGGGCAGGAACAACCCCAGGTTCCAATATAGGTTGGGAAACGACCTGTTAGAGAGCAGTGTAGGGGAGAGGGACCTGGGGGTCCTAGTGGACGACAGGATGACCATGAGCCAACACTGTGCCTTTGTGGCCAAGAAGGCCAATGGCATCCTCGGGTGTATTCGAAGGGGGGTGGTTAGTAGGTCGAGAGAGGTCCTCCTTCCCCTCTACTCTGCCCTGGTGAGACCGCATCTGGAATATTGTGTCCAGTTCTGGGCCCCTCAGTTCAAGAAGGACAGGGAGCTGCTGGAGAGAGTCCAGTGCAGGGCAACTAAGATGATTAAGGGAGTGGAGCATCTCCCTTATGAGGAAAGACTGAGGGAGCTGGGTCTCTATAGTTTGGAGAAGAGGAGACTGAGGGGTGACCTTATTGGTGTCTATAAATATATAAAGGGGGAGTGTCACAAGGATGGAGCCAGGCTCTACTCAGTGGCAAACAATGATAGGACAAGGGGTAATGGGTACAAAGTGGAACACAAGAGGTTCCACTTAAACTTGAGAAGAAACTTCTCAGTGAGGTTGACGGAACACTGGAACAGGCTGCCCAGGGAGGTTGTGGAGTCTCCTTCCCTGGAGACATTCAAAACCTGCCTGGACACATTCCTGTGTAACCTTATCTAGGTGTTCCTGCTCCGGCAGGGGGATTGGACTAGATGATCTTTCGAGGTCCCTTCCAATCTCTAGCATACTGTGATACTGTGATACTGTGATTTTCTAGCAGCTGCTGTAAATTCGCATGTTCTAACATCTCTTTTGCAAGTGACAAATCCATACAATACAAGGCGACGGTCATGGAGTCTGGCAAATGGCTTCTTTTCTGGCAGTTCCAAGTTCTCTTTGTCCTTCTGTTATTTCATATCCTAGGTAGGAAACTCGGGTTTGGATTAGTTGGGCCTTTTGTCTGGATACCCCATAACCATTCAGTCCCAGAAAATTTCATAATTCCACTGTCCACTGGAGACATTCTTTGTTTCTGTAGCAATTAATAGGTCATCCACATATTGTAACAGAGTCCCCGTCCGAGCAGGTGGCTTTCATGATTCTAATTCTCCTGCCAACTGATTTCCAAAAATTGCTGGACTGTTTTTAAACCCCTGTGGTAATACTGTCCAAATTAATTGAGTTTTTCTTCCTGTGTCAGGATTTTCCCATTCAAAAGCAAATAATTTTGTCTTTCTTTGGCCAATGGTAAGCAAAAGAAAGAGTCCTTTAAATCCAGGATGGCAAACCATTTCTGATTATTATTCAATTTAGTCATACGAATTAGCTACTACTGGAAGAATATCCTCTGCAATTTTGTTGATTACCCTGAGATCGTGACCCAATCTGCAACTTTTCCCATCAAATTTCTTTACTGTCCAGATACAAGTATTATATTCCAATTCACATTCAATTAATAATCTATATTTTAAAATTTATCAATGATTTTTCTGACTCCCTTTGATCTTCTGCTTTTAAGGGATACTGTTTTATTCTAATTGGGCAGGCCCCCCTTTTTATTTCCACTTTAACAGGCAAAGTATTTTTTGCCTTGCCTGGAACTTCAGATGTCCCTACTCCCACATATACCTGATTAAGGATTTCTTCTATTTCAGGGAGGTCCTCCTTTTTGCTTTTCTGTTGAATTAAACTCAAAACTGCAATTAATTGACTGGTTTTAACTCTAAATTCCATTTTGACTTCTTTAAGTGTTGCTTCTCGCCCTAATAAAGATTTTAGAGAATTTGGCATGCATAAAAATTTATGCATTCCTATTTGTTTTCCCAATTTGTGCTTTAAAGGTTTCAGACAGAATGCCTTTTTTTTTTTTTTTCTGCTTTTTCTTGGTGGCCGGTAACTCCCACATCTGTAACAAATTCTTTTCTCTCTGTTTTGACACCAAATAAGTTGCTCCTGTATCCACTAAAATTCTGCTTTATTTCCTCTAGTCCCTAGTTTTAATTTAACCAGTGGATCTGCTAGGGTAGATTCCCCAGGTCCCTGTCAGTCAAGTTCCAATTCAGTTACCAGAGCCATCCCATGGCACTCTCCTCCCAGGGCAGTCTCACTTCCAAGGTCCAAACTCCCCATACCACGCACACCGATCCAGTTCCACAGATGAGCCCACTCTCCCACCTCTGCCCGTCATCCCTCCTACTCTGCTCAAACACAGGAGCTGCCCCAGCTCCCCCCTTTCCCCCTTGGTTTTCCCTTTTTTTTTTTTCTCACAGCTGCTCACCCTGCTCTGCAGGGGCTGTAGATGCATGCCTCTGCAACAGCATATCTGGTTTAAACCCTTTCTCAACTCTGAATGTGAATGTGCCACTTGTTGCCAGTGACAGCAATCTCTTCCTCATCAGTATCAGATAGGACAGATGCAGAGGGTGATCCTCTCAGAGGTACCTGTGATGCATGATTTTTCAACCTATCATCTTCCTGATTACTGTTTTTTAACTTTAAACATCTTTCCCCAATATCACAGGCTGAACAACATCTCCAGCTTAACTTTCAGTTTTTCCCTGTCCTTTTCTAAAGCCAAAATTAAGGAATCTGGAGGAGTTATATTAGTTTTGCATTGTCTGTCACTCCACGTCATTTCTTAAAGTGAAAAACATATCTGCATACATTACTTCATCCCATTTTCCTTGCCACCTCAAAACAACATTAATTGTAACAATGTGTTATAGTTCAGAGTTCCATTTTTAGGCCATTTTTCCTGATGTTCTAAAGTATACAAAGGCCACCATTCATTACAATATTTTACCAATGTTTTCTTATTTACCGAGCCCCCAGGAGACCCACAAAGTTCTTTCCAGTGTGCCAAAATGCCCACAAAGGACTCTTTTTCAAGATCTCTCCACTCTGCTGATTTTCCATTATCAAACTCACATTCACACATGCACACACACAAACGGGATCCCACAGACACACTCCACACAGTTACAACACTTGAGTCAAAGACAGACTAAAATTCAACCAAACAACAGTTAATAACACAGTTAAAACATCCTGTCACCAGTACCAAAATCACAAGACCAAAATCATTACTGTAAGAAGCCACAAAAAGACGAATACCAGTAGAATCAAAAGCAATACATCCTAACCCCTATGGCTCAGACCATATTGTAACATTAATAGGGGGGTTTCCTTGAACCCTTTATAGTTGACCAGCCTGTCAGTGTCCCAAGAAGGACGAGACCCTTGTGCCCGACCAGCCTGTCAGCGTCCCACTGTGGGACATACTGGACAGCCCACTGTATCGGAGGGTGATTCGACTAACCTATTCAGGGACCCGCGCTGACAGCATCACTGAATCAAATCCCTTATGGGCTGTTGATAGCACACTGGACCCAAAACCATTTCCACAAGACACCCCATGCGTCTTGTAGGACCCAAACCACAAGATGCCCCCTGCTTAGTTATAGCAGTCTGTCACTGATTACAAAATCACAAGACCAAAATGCTTAATGTAACAAACCACAAAATAAATACCAAGATCCAAAACCATTTCCACAAGACACCCCCTGTGTCTTTCAGGACGAAAACCACAAGAAGCCCCCTGCTTCTTGTGGGTGTATACCAGTAAAATCCAAACCCTTTTCTACAGGACGCCCACTGCGTCTTGCAGGACCCAAACCACAAGAAGCCCCCTGCTTCTTGTGGGTGTATACTAAACGGACGCTAGCAGCCGGGTATACTCCTTTACCTACGAGATTTCCTACCTCGATTTACGGAAGGCTTCCAAACCATGAGTACGCTTACCAACCCAACCCAATTACCAATTTAGTCTTTATGCAAGATGCCCCCTGCACCTTACAGACTATATAAAAGAAAAGAATACCTTTCATGAGATGGTCCTTGTCTGGTCCCGCAGTGATCCGAATTAGTCAAGGGGTCCCTCCAGGAAAAATTCCTGAGGGCCCTAGCGAGCCCTGTCCTCAGCAGGTCCTGCAGCCGAGCAGAGAGGGTCCCATCTGGGTCGCCAAATTGATTCAGAGAAAACTCCAGGAACAAACTTGCCAACAAAGTTTTCAAGCTGACAAGCAGGTATTCTTTATTGCGGCACTGGGAGACACGGGGGATAGCTCCTCCTAACGTGTGTCTCTCAATTGCCACACAAGCCTCCCTTTTATAGCCACTGGGCATACGTACATATTCATGAGGCTACATATGGATTACATCATTTTCAAGAAAGTTCCCCGCATGAGTACAGAATTGTGGTGGTGGTCTCTGAGGGTCGTTTACTTCTTCCAACAATCTTCATCACTTCTGGCAGCCTTTGAAGCAGTAGATGCTCATACCAGTTTAATTGGTTTGTTAGCACCAGAGACATAATAATCCTCCTATCCTCCTACTTATCAGTTAGTTTAACTGCAGCCCATCCTGGACACCTGCGGTTCCCAGATACTCCTTATCCCTGCGTCCTGTTCTTCTAGACTGTTTTTCTTACAACTATGTCAACTATAACAATTTATGTTGTGAGAATTCTCAGTGTGTTCTCTAGCTGTACTCTATTTTTTTTCTCTTTGTATCATGCACCTCAGTTATTTTCCATTGCTATTGTTACAAAGCCATCAAACTTAACATTACTTAAAACTAATTCTAAATGTTTCCATGTTCCATTCTGTGATTTTGTGCCCCCCTTATCTCACCCTCCTTCCTCCCCCTGCTACCAGAGGGATGGGGAGGAGAACAGGAAGAATGTAACACCCACGGGTTAATATAAGAACAACAGTCCAGTAACTAAAGTATAACACTTCCAACCATCTTCATCACTTCTGGCAGCCTTTGAAGCACTTGCAGTAGATGTTTATATCAGCGTAATTGGTTTGTTAACCCCACAGACATAACAATCATCCTGTCCTTCTGTTTATCAGTTAGTTTAACTGCAGCCCATCCTGGACACCTGCCATTCCCAGATACTACTTATCCTTACATCCTCCTGTTTTTCTATCCTGTTTTTCTTACACTCATTTTGAACTAAGGTCATAGGGCCTAAAACTATGTCAACTACAACGGTTTATCTTGTACAAGAATTCTCAGTATGTCCTCCAGCTGTACTCTATTTTTTTCTCTGTGAATCATGCACCTCAGTAATTTTCCATTGCTACTGTTACAAAGCCATCAAACTTAACATTACTTAAAAGTGATTCTAAAGATTTATATATTTCATTTTGTGATTTTGTGCCCGCCTTGTCTCACGTGTCATGTGCCCACATGGCCAAAAATAATTCACCCTTATGTTGCAAATCTAAGTCCATCTGAGCCACTTCAATCTTAGCAGCTTTATTCCCTGCTGGTTGTTCTGATGTTCCTCACTGACCTAACGCTTGGGTACATGAGCATCTACATGACATACCTTCACCACCAGGTTCTCCCCCCAGACAATATCTTGCCACAGTGCAGCAGCCCAGATGGGTTTATCTCTGTGTTGCCAGTTGCTCTGCTTCCCTTGCTGCAACCACCCCACATGGCACTTGCCACCATCCATGAGTCTGTATAGAGATAAAGTACCGGTCACATTTCTCATTCAGCAATGTCCAAGGCCAGCTGGATGGCTTTCACCTCAGCAAACTGACTCGATTCACCCTCTTCTTCAGCGGTTTCTGCAACCTGTCATCAGGGACTCCAGACCGCTTCCTACCATTTCCAAAGCTTTCCCACAATACAGCAGGACCCATCAGTAAACAAGGCATATTGCTTTTCACTTTGACAGTTTATTTTATGGTGGGGCCTCTTCAGCATGCATCTCCTCCTCCTCTGGTGGCATTGCAAAATCTTTGACCTCTCACCAGTCCATGATGACTTATAGAATGCCTGGATGACTGGGATTTCCTATTCGAGCTCGTTGTGATAAGCTCCACAACTTGTTAAGGTTGTAAAGTAGGCATGCTTTTATTCAGGGCTGAGGTGCATGGGGGATAGCTCCTCCAAAGGCATGCACAGCCCAGTATTTTTTCCCTCTACATTTATCCCCTAAAGTAATACATATGTATTAGGCTACACAGTACACCTATACATAGTCATGTCCTATCCCTGCTTCATTTTATAATGAGCTAAAAGGTCCTTTGCGCCTGAGCAGTGTCCTCTGGTGGTCGTGGGCGAGGGTCTCAAGATGAAGTAAACGAGCCTGAACTTTTCACCTCGGGCCTGAACTTTTTGCCTCTAGTTGTCACGCATGCTGCCTGTTTGTTTAAACCGCAAAGCTGGTTTCAGCCAGCTTAGGGGTCCAGAGGGCAGGAACTAATTTATGGTTCCTTCCTCGTATCAGCAGTCTA